TGCCATCCTTTAACACAGTTCCTCATGTTGTAGTGATCCCCAACCATAAAATTATGCTACTTCATAATTTTGATTCACTGTCATGAATCACAGTGTAAATATATGCAGGATATCTGATATGTGACCCCTGTGAAAGGGTTGCTTGACCCCCCAAAGGGTTCACAACCCACAAGTTGACAACTGAAAAACAGATACTAATTATTTAAAATTCTATATCCTTTTGGATATAGAATGTAAGCATGTAAGAACTCATTTCATTTTTTATGACTGCTTTATTAAAAGCTTAAAAAGGAAAAATTAATTTCATTCCTAAGGATAATAGACTGTTTTATGGTAGCTTTGCACAGCAGAAGAGAGTAGAGATTAAATTACCATTTCACAGTGAATTGTTTAACATATTTAATAACATGATGATTTTTATAAGGGAATCTTAACCGTCCCCTCATCACTAGTCAGTTATGCCAGATAAAAACAGGTCGCTCAGTTAAATTTGAATTAAACATAGATAATGAATATATTTTAGTATAATTATGTCCCATGCAATATCTGATGTTTTTTTTTCTTTTTACTAAATAAGCTGTTTTTCTACATCTCAAGTTTATCTGGGAATCTCTCATTTAATTTGCTAAATCTGGAAACCTCATTAGTATACTACACTTTTTAAATGTTTTTCAAATAGTTTTCAATTTCTGCAAATACGTTCTTTTTTATTCAGTGTTGTGGATTGAACCCAGGATCTTACAAATGTTAGGCAAGCTCTCTACCACTAGGCCCAATGCTCATTCATTTATTCACCCACTAGTTTGTTTAATGACTATTTTCTTACATTCTGAACTGTTTTCAATGTTGAGATTTATTTAAAAAAAAAGAATAAGAATAAGAAAGAAAGAAAGAAAGAAAGAAAGAGAGAGAGAGGGAGGGAGGGAGGAAGGAAGGAAGAAAGGAAGGAAGGAAGAAAGGAAGAAAGGAAGGAAGGAAGGAAGAAAGAAAGGAAGGGAAGGAAGGAAGGAAGAAAGAAAGAAAGAAAGAAAGAAAGAAAGAAAGAAAGAAAGAAAGAAAGAAAGAAAGAAAAAGAAAGAAAGAAAGGAAGACAGACACCTCATGGAGCATTAGTTCCCAGCCTTTGCTGACCATTATATTTGGCTGGGAAATTAAAAAAAAAAATGTTGAGCCCTAAATTCAATCCCCAAAGTTTCTGTAGTTCAAACGTTTATAACTTCTCCAGGTGATTCTAGTGTGTAACCAAGGTTGAGAACCACAGCTGCAGATGAAGATGAATTCTGCTTTCTTGGGCTTTATGTCTTTGGAACCTATTAATGGTTTTCTCAGCAGACCCTAAACTGGCACACTGTATTAGCCAACTGATTCTTTTTCCAAAGCAAAGTAACTTCATTAAGCTAGCATTACACATAAAATTAAACTGTTTTACTCAATTTTAGAATGGTGAATATTTAAATAAATAAATACATTCATCCATTCACTCAAAAATGCTTATTTCTATCTAATGCTGGAAACTGTACAAGGTATTTGGGATGGAGCCATGGAAAAGAAAAAAACTCCTATTCCTCTAAAAGAGATAATTAATATGTATAACTAGTAATACTTGATATGAAGAAATAAGGCTTAAAAAGGAATTTGATGGTGGGGAGCCATTCATTTAAAGTGGTACAATCAAAGAAAGCCCCTCTTGGGATATCTGACCACATTCCTGAATGATGACTGGAATTATATAAAGTTATCCAGAGAAAGGTAAAAGAAGTATCAGGTGTAAAGTCTTTGAAGCTAGAGCAATAAGCTTGGTGTGTTGCTACTAAAAACTGGAAGGGCAGCATGGGTAGGGCAATGCCAGAGAGACATATTAGATGGGGGCAAACAAAAGGGTGTGTAGGCACCAAGAGCAACCTAAAGATACTAGTCTATAGTCCAGATACAATGTGCCTATAATTAACCATTCAAAAGCTTTGGGCTGCAGGGTAGTAAACAGGGTCTAATTCATATTATAAAAATATTACTCCAGTTTCCATGTAGATTGGGCAGTACAATAATGGTTGAGTAGAAGCAGGCAAACATAAACTACTAGAGGTGAGAGACGATGTGGACTATGATGGTAACAGTCATGGTTTTAAGAGATTCAGAAAATGAACCCAGCAGATTTGCTGGTAGGCTGCCTCTAGAGTGAGAAAGAAAGAGTAAACAAGAATGCTTTGGAACTCGATGGGGACAGGGAGGTGTCACCAGAATTCTAACAGGGCCCCACTAACCTTGGAATGCCTAACATTCATCCCAGTAGACAAGCCAATATGGCTGATGTGTATGCCTGGATCTCACAGAAGCAATTAGAATTGCAGAAATCTATCGAGCTAATTAGCTGTCTTCTGCATGATGCCCTTTTCCCACTAAAGTTTAACACACTAGACTGTTCTTTAAATAAAGTAAGGACGGTCAGTTTCTTTCAAGGTGAGTGGCTTGCGCTACAGGTTAAACTTGTAATCTAAACTACACTGACACCTGACAGCTTAGAATCCTCTACTACAGGAGCACCTAGAAGACCTGCTCCCATCATGATTTTAAGATATCCACAGGATGTACTCAAAAAGTAATTGTAAAAATTATATAAGATGATACAAGAGGCATCTTAAGACTGTTACTAACAAGTTTCCTATGACTAAACATGATTCCTTTTAGCTATGAATAAATTTCCTTTAGAAAGAATAAGAATAAAGTTTAGGTTGAGAGGGTGAGGCTTATGAGACCCTGGCCATCCTGAGGATCTATAGGCAATTTATGGTCTTTCTTTTGGGGAAGGAGAGACATTTTTTCAGTGGTGTAGCCACTGGTAACCTGACTATGTTCAAATAACCGCTTACCCATGTTCCTTTAAACAACTCTAATTAAACTCACTTGGCCACACATACACACACACACACACACACACACACACACACACACACACACACACACACACACAAATAAGCTATTGTGGTTTTTAGGGTGAGGTTCTCATAAGTACTATTTGTTGGTAGCTTAAAGGGAGAATCTTAATAGATCAAGTAAATTCTATTAAAATAGTTACTAAAAGTTAGTTTGTGAGAATGTAGAGCAGTATCAAAAGTTTGATTTTGAAATTTGTCATTAAATTAGTTGTGTGACTAAAAACCAAATCATTTAAATCCCCAAACCCCAGTTTTCTTATTTGTAAAAAAGGTGGTAAATCTACTTTCAAGGTCTTTGTGATGTGAGAAATAAAACTTGCATGAGTGTTGGATGAAGGATAAATTCACTTGTGAAAGAGAGGTGAGTCACAGACTGGGAGACACCATCTTTTCTATTAGCAAGCCTAAAGAAATCAAGGACTCCAAGAGAACCACAACGAGCTAACCTCACTGTGGAAAACTGGTGGGAAAAGTACGTTTAACAAAAGAACATAAAGTGTAAAGTTGTCATTTCTTTTTTTTTCTTTTCTTTCACTTGTTTCTCTGGTAATATTTATTTTCCTTCAGTTGGTGGTGTGCTTTGGTTTATTCCTTTCCCATGATGGTTCCCTTTTTCCTCCAGTATGGTGCACAGCACCTTCCAGCAGCATGAAAGCTTAGCCAGTAGGGATGAAGGTCCAGGTTAGTACCAGCTTAGTCTCTGTGTTCTGGATCTTACTGTCATATTCTGGAGTAAGGACACAGGCAATAGCCTGGAATGCTTGGAGGTCTCTGAGACTTCATTGGCTAATGACTCTGAAAGAGGTAAGCCATTCCTGGAACTGGGCTTTTTATCTTTTAGCCTGTGTTGTCTAGTAGGAACATTGTCATTCCACTACAAGGGTGTCCTAGTTTACTTTCCCTTGCTGTGGTGAAGACCATGATTGTTCTAGTTTGCTTTCTCTTGCTGTGATGAAAATCATGTCCAAAAGAGACTTGGAGAGGAAAAGGTTTATATCAAATGAAAGGTGTAGTCCATTGTGAGGGTATGTCTGGGCAGGAATTCAAGGCAGGAACCTGGAGGCAGAACCCAGTGGCAAGAACCAAAGCAGAGGCCATGAAGGAATGCTTCTTAGTGACTTGGAGTACATAGCTTGCTCAGTGTGATTGCTTATACTACCCAGGACCACCTGATCATAGGTGGCACTTCCCTCAGTAGGTTGTGACCTCCCATGTTAATTATTAATCAAGAAAATGCCCTATATAGAGACTTGCCTACATGTAATACCATGGAGGACTTTCTCAATTGAGGTTCCCTCTTCCCAGATGACTTTTGTTTGAATCTAGTTGACAAAATACTAACCAGGATAATTGACCCTTTGTTAATTTGATACACCAATATATCACTACTAAGCCACAAGCTTTCATTTCTTGTTTATTTCCAAGATTTCATCTTACTATCACAATATAAAACATATTTTTACCCACAGTCTTTAAAAGTTCACTGTCTAAAAATCCAAAGTTCCTTAACTGTAGGCTTCCATACATTAAAAAATAAGTTACATAGTTCTTATTCCAAGAGGCATGAACCAGGGTACAGTTCCAATCAAATGGGCATAAGCCCAACTCCAGCAGTGTAAGTCATCCTTCACGTCAATGTCCCACATCTGGGATTCACTCACAATATTCTGGGCTCCAAAGGGCCTATGCAGCTCCACTTCTCTGGCTTTGCTGTCTATAACCACTTGTCCCTTAGGCTCAGGCCTGCTCTGTGCCATACCTGCCACCCTCCTTGGTGGTCATCTCATAGTCTTGGCATCTCCAGTATGCTTGGGTCTCCACAGGCTTCACATTCACTAATAATCTCCTGACCTCTCTTCAGGGACTACAAGCCTGTCACATGGTGCCAAGCCTCAGCTTCTCTCCATGACCCCTTCAATCCTGGGATTTCCATTGCATCTGAGGTTGAACCTTCACCAATGGCCTCTCCTGGCCTCTTACAATGCCAACTATCAGCTTCTCATCATAACCCTTTCAATCCTACAGTTCTCATGCTACTCAACCAAGTGCCATTTGAGGGATTCTTACCCATTACAAAGTTTGGCTGCCAATATGAGATGCTGCATTGCTCCCCTCTGGACCACAGCTTCTGTGTGCTGACCTTGAGAAAATACTCCCCAGAAGATTTCACCTCAATGATGCTGTCTTCTTAGTCATAGCTGGTTTCACAGACCTGACCAGAAACCACAGATTCTTAATTTAAATATATTATACGAACATCCCCAGTAGAGTCTTTGAGAGCATCTCAAACTTCCCTCTGAGTCATCACAAGCCAAGATTCTATAATCCAGATTGCTCAGTATTCTTTTCTTTCAAGTTCCCACAGCAAAGCTCATTAAGCTTTGAGCACTAATTTTCCATCCTAAATTTCCAAACCTTTCCATAGTCCTCCCCTAACAACATGGTCAGGTCAGTTACAGCAATAACATAGGATCCTGGTATCAATTTCTATTTCAGTGTGCTTTCTATTGCTGTGATAAAGTCCATGACTAGAAGAAACTTAAAGAGAATGGGTTTAGTGGGCTTCCCAGTCACAGCACATCATCACAGAAGCCAGGGCAGTGACTCAGGAAAGGAATTTAGAGGATGGAACTGAAGCAGAACTACAAAGGAGTGCTGCTTATTGGCTTGCTCTCCATGGCTTGCTCAGATTGCCTTTTTATACAACATAGAACTGCCTACCCAAGGGTGGTATTACCACAGTGGGCTAGGTCTTCCTCCATCTCGATCTTTGGTGAAGGAAATGCCCCACAGACTTGCCTACAGGACAGTCTGATGGAGGCATTTTTCTTGGTTAAGGTTTTCTCTTCCCAGATGTCCCTAACTTGTATCAAGTTGACAAAAAACTAACTAGCACATAGGGCAACCCAACTTCAACTCTTTTTATATTTGTGTATATGTTCCCTATCTGTTGTGAGTAGACATTTGCGTATGTCTCCCCAGGAATAGTGTTGTACAACTCTACTTTTTCTGATAGGTATTACTCAGATTTTCCAAGCTTACTTCCTAGAGATCCTAGCAGACTCTGCCTGCCTGCCATCTTGGGTCATCTTATATTTATTGTTTAAGGAAAGTTACTTTTAACTGGTCAGGAAACACCATGATTAGTCTAGCTTTAGGGCAAAAAAAGCAGTTAAGCATAATGGGATTCCTTCTCATTTCTATCTATCAACTCTGTTTCCTGGATCTATGAATCGTGCTTACAGTAGAGATGCCACCATATACTGTATATTGATTTAGATGGAACCAACCTCATAGAGAACATGGGAGCTGCATCATTCACTATTACATCTAGTGATCTACTAGTAAAAGTTTTGCTACCATCTTGTCTAGTCTGCTTCTGTGCTTTCACAGGCTATCACACACTGGGCAATTCATCATAATTCTGGAGGCTGGAAAATGTAAGATCAAAGAACTATCAGGTTTAGTAGTCAAGACTGTTCCTTGCTCTATACATGGGATAGAGACATGCTATTTCCTCACATAGAGCCAGAAAAGCAAAGATGAACTCCCTCCCCCAAGCTCTTTTCAATTAGCACTTAATCCCATTCACAAAGGAGGGACTTTATGCCCACATCCTCCCTTAAAGGCCCCATCTCTTAATACTGTCCTATTGCCAGCACCTGTACTTGCAGGGAACACAGTGAAATCATTGCCATTCCTGTACATTATATTCTACTGTTTAGAGTTCTGATTTTCAAAATGAGAAATGCTTTCAGCAGGAACAAGGAGAACACCCAGTGAAGCCAAAGAGTAGCAGAGTCATGTTTCTACAATCAAATAGTGAAAAAGATGCTGGCTAACACCAGAAGGTAGAAAGAGGCAAGGGATGGTTTGCCCAGATTCAAGAGGGGCTGAAACTGCCAGCATATTGACTTTAGACTTGTAGTCTCTAGAACTGTATGACAACAGATTTCAGGCTATTTTTAAAGCCACCAAGTTTGTGGCATGATACCTTAAGATATCCCTGGGAAACTAAGACAGTCACTGTTTTGATAAACCTTCCACATACAAAAAACCATAACATTTTAAGGAGGCTGAGCTGTTCTCTATAGGGCAAGAGGCTATGTCTCCCATCTTTCACAAGACGTTAAGGAGAAGCAGAAAGGCAATGTAATATAGGCTGAATAATCTTTAAGTGAAAAAAATTATGTTTTCCCCCATACAAACATATTTTTTCCTTTCCCCTTTAAGGGAATGATTGGCTGATTCTGGATAAGGAATCAAACTGGCAAGTATACCCGGAGAATATGAGCCAGGGTTATAATAATGGGCAATGACTTAACATTTAACAAGGTCCCTTCAAACATTGCCAGAGCCAAAGCCTAAAAGACAAGGTAGGTCATTACATTGTCCAAATGCCTGAAGCAATATTTGATTTGGGCCAAGGCAGTACAGACACTCCAAATAGATGGGGAGGGAGAATTTTAAATAATCCCATAAGGAAGCTCTCAGAGGAGTACAGCATCCATCATTTTGTCAACAGTGATTTGGTTAAGACTGAGACTTTTGGAACAGGTCAGTTGAACTTTGATATGTAAAATGTGGTGTTATTTTACTATTCAACATCTTTGTAGTTATGTTGATATATCACCAATCAGAAAAAAAAAGTCTATGGATGCCACTAACACAAATTCTTTAGATCTTTAAGAGAGGGAAGCAACAACAAGCATTTCCCTCCTATTTTACAAGAAAGAAAATTATAACTTGTCATCTGGGTTAAAGAAATTACTTGAAAAGTGGTTTCAAGAGAGAGTTGCAAGTGAGATACATTTAGTAACAAATATGGTAGAAATACTACCAGGAGGTAGCAATTAAGCTTATACGTAAAATATAAGCATGCAGAGACCAGCTAGGGTTATATCCAGAACTAGAAATCTTGTAGCAAGAGATAGAGAATAGGATAAGAGTGCTAAAGGGACACAATTAGAATGTGATTATTCTCATTAAATGTTTGGGTAACCCCCAAAATATTAACTTGTAGTGGGTGTCTGTTTGAGCAATGCCCTGAAGCACCACCCCTAGTAAGGCAGCTGTAGCTGTTACCCCTGCCTATGACCTTGAGGTAACTGTGCTGTGGGATGTTCTGTATGGCAAATGTGTTGCTTTGATTGGTTAGTAAATAAAACACTGATTGGCCAGTAGTCAGGCAGGAGGAAGTATAGGCGGGACAAGGAGGAGAATAAAGCTGGGAAGTGGAAGGCTGAGTCAGAGACACTGCCAGCCGCCATGATGACAAACAGCATGTGAAGATGCCAGTAAGCCACGAGCCACATGGTAAGGTATAGATTTATAGAAATGGATTAATTTAAGCTGTAAGAACAGTTAGCAAGAAGCCTGGTACGGCCATAAAGTTTGTAAGCAATATAAGTCTCTGTGTTTACTTGGTTGTGTCTGAGCGGCTGTGGGACTGGTAGGTGAGAGAGATTTGCCCTGACCATGGGCCAGGCAGGAAAACTCTAGCTACAAATGGCGCCCAAAGAGTTGGCAAGAGTTTCCACCTAAAACCTGAGAAAAGATTCTAAAACGGAGCTAAAAACAGCTTACTAATTGCCTCTCTCAAATGAGTGGCAGTCTGCCAGTTTGAGCTACTGGCGGGTTCCTAGTGTGCACTCGACCTGCAGTATGGCAGGAATGAGGCCTCTGCAAGTGGCACATTAAGCTGCATGGTGGATTTAGCCTTTGCTAGTACAAAACAAAAAAAGAGGTTTCAGGGCTACACGCTGCTTGGATAAAAGCATAGACCCATGATAGCTCCCAGAGCTGGCGGTAAATGTACCACCACCATGTTGGGAAGCTGAGGTGGGCAGAGCCAGCAGCCATAGCGCCCTTTTCAGTCTTACAAATGCTGCAGTTTAAAGCAATAGATTCACAATAAGACAGATTCAGATGTAATAGTTTACAATGTGTGTAAAATATACATAGGCTTGAAAGAGACAAAAAAGGTGATATACACAGTTATATAAACAAATACATAGTTTTAAAAAATAAAGTCTTTAAAGAGACAGTAAAATTAATATAAAAAATAAGCCATGTAAAGATGAATATTACACAGAGAATCTGGATTGTGTTGTCTTTGGGATTTTTAACTGCAGAAAAACATTTGATTATAAAAGCTGTTGAGTTATGCCAAAATGTATATTTTAAAGGTACCTTGACTTCAAAATTTGGATGTAAGGATATGTTGCTTTGGAAAGGAGACTCTGCTTTTGTTCCCACAGAAAGCCAGAGGCTATGGATTTGTTCCAGATTAAGATACATCAGGTTTGACCAGCCAAGACCCCCTGAAAGGTCTCTGATGACACCATGACCCAGATGATCCAACATCCAGAATGGTTTGAAGGCATCTGGCTCAGACAATACAGCCTCATGGACTATTCCATAATTCTAAAATTTTCTTTGTGTCCCCATAAGATACAGCGCCCCCCTCCAGCAGGAAGCAGTAAGAGAAGCTACGCCCAAATTCCCAAATTATATGTAATTTTACTTTGTTAAGGTTAAAACATTCCTTTTTGAAAAAAAAAAGAAAAGGGGAAGTGCTGTGGGATGTTCTGTATGGCAAATGTGTTGCTCTGATTGGTTAGTAAATAAAACACTGATTGGCCAGTAGTCAGGCAGGAGGAAGTATAGGCGGGACAAGGAGGAGAATAAAGCTGGGAAGTGGAAGGCTGAATCAGAGACACTGCCAGCCGCCATGATGACAAACAGCATGTGAAGATGCCAGTAAGCCACGAGCCACGTGACAAGGTATTGATTTATAGAAATGGATTAATTTAAGCTGTAAGAACAGTTAGCAAGAAGCCTGGTACAGCCATACAGTTTGTAAGCAATATAAGTCTCTGTGTTTACTTGGTTGTTCTCTGAGCGGCTGTGGGACTGGTAGGTGAGAGAGATTTGCCCTGACCATGGGCCAGGCAGGAAAACTCTAGCTATATAACTGCCCCTGGGGCATGGCTGCTCGAGGACCCATAAGACCTGGAATGCACATACACAGCACTCTTGGCTACCTCATGGTTTGGGTGCTGAGATCTTGGACCAAGCCATCCAGTGTGGGACATAGCTCAGCTTTCCCAGACCCTATGATAAATCTCCTGTGGTTCTGAGTTTACCACCAAATAAATTCCTTTGATCATTAAGCTGATTCTGTGGATTGCTAGTGATTTAATCACATTATCTGGTGCCCAACATGGGGCACCAAATGTAGTCAGAATTTTCTCTGGTCCTACCTGGCCTGGTGATCCGCAATCCATGTTTCTTCATTCCCATCCTGCCCTGCAGTCCTGCAGTTCATAAAATAATCATTCAGAGACTTATGTTAATTACCAATTGTATGGCCTACAGCAGGTGTCTTGCTAGCTAGCTCGCTCTTATAAGTTAATCCATTTCTATTAATCTATAGGTTGCCATGTGGCTGTGGTATTACTGGTTTGCTGGCATCTTGCTGTTCCTTTGGCAGTAGCTGGCATCTCCCCAGTCTCTGTCCTTCTTCTCTCTGTCCTTCCACTTGGTTTTCCTGCCTGGCTGTAAGCTTTCTTGCTATAGGCCAAAACAGCTTTATTTACTAACCAATGGGAACAGCATATATTCACAGCATATAGAAAGGCATCCCACAGCACTTCCCCTTTCCTATCTAATCAAAAAGGAAGGTTTTAATTTTAACATAGTAAAATTACATACAACAAAACAGTTATCAAGCAAGAATTATAGTTACAATATCTAGTCTATTTGTATTTAGGAAAATTAAAGAAAATATTCTATCATCTATCTTCTTTTGTGATTCTAAAGTTTTATATATATCTTTTATCATGGCTAAGGAAAGCTATAATTATAACAACTTCATCAAAGACCCTAGAAGAATATAATATTACCTAAGTAATATAGGAAGTGCATTATAAGCAACTTCCAAAAATCTAGAATGAAAGAGACAGCTGGCTGCCTAGATAGTCACCCAAAGTTCCTCTGCAATGTTGGGGCATCCATCTTCAGCCTATAGGCCTAGAGTTTTTAGTTGCTTCTCCCTGTGTCCTGTAGACTATCTAGCAGTTTCTTCTGCTTAGCAGGAACCTGAAGGACCATCTTGCCTTGTTTGGGCAAAATTTAGTGGTCATTTTTCCATGGGTCCTGCATGCCCAATATATATAACATACTGTCAAGCAGTCCGGGCACAAGCAGTTTCTTGTCCAAATGGCCAGTTTTGCCAAGAAGATAAAACTCCATATGGAGTATCTTTAATGCCCATCTTCCTCTTTGAACTAAAGATATGATAGGATAAAAGGGGAGATTATTGAATCTACTTTTAAGACATTTTTTTTTTTTTTTTTTTGGTTTTTTCGAGACAGGGTTTCTCTGTGTAGCTTTGTGCCTTTCCTGGAACTCACTTGGTAGCCCAGGCTGGCCTCGAACTCACAGAGATCCGCCTGGCTCTGCCTCCCGAGTGCTGGGATTAAAGGCGTGCGCCACCACCGCCCGGCTGAATCTACTTTTAAAGAGTAACAACTTGTTTAAAATATTTTACATTGCTATGGATTTTAGTTTATTGATACAAAATTAATTTTGTTATACTATATGTATATTTTTACTTGTTTAAGGTATTACGTTAAGGCAGCTCATTTAAAATTATAATAATTATAATATAAATAAATATATAATATAAATAAAAATATAATATAGTTATATTATAATATAATTAAGAAATACAGATTAATAGTCATCTAGGATAATCAAACTTATAGTCATGTTAATTAAATTTTTAGGTATATAAAGGTATACTTCAATTCATTAGGTAATCTTCAAACACTTCAAAGACTTACAGAATATGGCATTTAAAATGTTTTAAAAACTCAGACTTCTGTCAGATGTGGGGTTGATGAAAATCTTTTCCCATTCTGTAGGCTGTCGTTTTGTCTTATTTACTATGTCCTTTGCCCTACAGAAACGTGCATCAGGATCATGATGGGGAAACATGCAGGGACGACCAAACCAAACAAGAGGGAACTCATGAAAGTTGGATCAATGGCTGTGGAGCTTAAATGGGACTGGACCAGGCCTTTTGCATGGTGAAACAGTTGTGTAGCTTGATCTGCTCGGGAGGCCCCCTGGCGGTAGGGTCAGAATCTATCTCTGGTGCATGAGTGGGCCTTGTGGAGCCCACTACTTGTGATTGGACACCTTGTACAGCCTTGAGGCAGTGGGAAGGGCTTGGACTTGCCTCTACTGAATGTGCCTCCACATGGGAGGCCTTGCCTTCTTGTGGGAGGGAGTGGGGGATGGGTTGGGAGGGGGAGGCTGGGGGCAGCAGGAGGAGGGAAGAGGGAGATCTTTGATTGGTGTGTAAAACGAATGAAAAATTTTCTTAATAAAAGTCTTGCAGAAAAAAAAAAAACGTAGACTTTTCTGGACAATGAGACATACCTGCTCCTGGCAGCCCTCAAGGCTGGCTTACCTGTGTCCCTGACAAAAGGATCAGCTCTAGTGTGATGCCCAGATAGGAAGCTGTAGCTGAAAGCTTTCCTGGTCCTGCCTGGCTCCCGTGGCCTCGCAGCCACTCAGACCCAAATGAACACACAGAGGCTTATATTAATTACAAACTGTATGACCTACTGGCTCATGCTGCTTGCTAGTTAGATCTTACATCTTACATTAACCCATTTCTATAAATCTATACTTTGCCACGTGGCTTGGGGCTTACTGGTATCTTTACATCTTGCTTCTCATGGAGGCGACTGGCAGCATCTCCTCCATTCTGCCTTTCGCCTTCTTCCTCTCTAGTTAGAATGTCCCACCTAGCCTTATTCTGTCTCACCATTGGCCAAACAGATTTATTTATCAACCATTCAGAGCAACGCATACTCACAGCATACAGAACGATATCACCCATCAGGAAGCAGAGTTTGCTTCTTACGCACTGCAGCCTGTGAGGGTCAGGGCTAGCTCTCCTGCTCTTGTGACCCCAGGGCCAACTCTCTCACCTGCTGCTGCAGGTGATAATGGGTGAGGGGTGGGGTGAGGATATCTTTCCCTCACCCATGCCACCACATGGCAGATGAGGGGGAGTGGGGTCAGTTCTCCTGTTCTCATATCCTCAGGGTCAGCTCTAGTGTGCTTCCTAGGTGAGGTGCATGGCTATGGTGAGGGGTGGGACAATCTTTCTTGAGTACTGGGAGCTCTCCCTTGAGGGGTAGGTAGGGCCAGCTGGCCTGTTGCAATATCTAGCAAAGGGCAGGACCAACCATCTCAGGGCCAGTGAAGGGCAGATTGGATCAGCATAGCATGGTTCCAATGATCCCCATGCTAACACTGGCTATGGGCATCACCATAGATGCCAACTGCTGCAGGATCATGGACCCAGACATGGCCCTTGACATAGGCTCCTGCCTAGACATCTCCATGGCTCCAAGTGGCAGCACTGGCCACCCAGATCAGCATGGCCCTAGGCACAGCATGGTCCTTGGACACTGACATGGTCCAAGGTGGCCAACCAGACCCCAGTCATCTGCATAGCCCTTGGTGACAACAGGAGCCCTGGACATCAATTCAGACCCTGGCTGCTGTAGGGCTATGTACCCAGACATGGCCCTCTGCAGCAGCTCTGGCCTAGACAACACCATGGCCTGGGTGACAGCATAGGCCACTCAGATTAGGATGTGCCCGGAGGCAGCATGGCCCTCAGACACACTCATAGCCACAGGGTGCAGCCCAGACCACGGTTATCTATGTGGCCTTTGGTGGCAACATGGGCCATGGACATCAATACAGACTCTGGTACCTTCTTTTTATATGTATATCTCTATCTTCCACATTAAGAATCTTGGTTCTCAAAGACGTAGGAAATTACAGTCAGAACTTAAGATGAGTTACTTGTTTTATTCCATTTTATAATACAACTATGAATTATAACAGTTTGAATCTGCCTTTTATAAACTTGGGATTTATCTTTGCTGGGTATAAAATCTTTAGCTTACATTTTCTTTTCCTGAGTCTCTTAAGAAAAATGAAAGGTTATTCTGTGATGCTTTTGAGGGCATTATTAAAGCATATGTTCTTTACTACTTGATACCCAAAGGATTTTTTTTTAAGTCCAGTAAAATTACAAGACTTTGTTTTGGTTATTTCAGATTGATTTTGCCAAGTTACAGAGTATTTTTTGTATGTACTTCACAGTATTTTAATTTGGTCTTAAATATTTATTCTATTTCCCAAATCTCGTTTAGAAACTTCTGTATTTTAAATCTTGTCTTCAATATATGCCATTTTCTCCCAAATCACTTTGCTCCTTCATTCATTTTGTTCTTCCATGCTTTAAATTCCTGGAGAATTAGAAATAGTTTCCTTTTGCCAGAGTTCTCTAGCCAAAATTTTTCGGAGTGAAACCTAGCTTCTCCTGGCATTCACAGCATCCTCCCAGAACTCCTTGCACTTAATGTCCGTGGAAAGGAAGGAATCTGAAGTATGTCATTGGTTGCACAGTATTTGTTTATATCCTATTCCCATCAAAGCATGATACATACCAACCTCTTCATATGAGTCATGTGACCTTGCACCAGTCTTTGAAAGACACGTTACTCCTTGTACTGCTATGCTATGTTTTGGGTCATACAGTGGTGAGCTGTTTTTAGGTTTATTCTGTTTCACTGGTTTGCCTTTCTACTCTGCAAAAATACCTATTTTTTATTTTGTAATATATATATATATATATTTAAAAAAATATTTTTATTTTATAATTTTTTTTTTTTTTTGCTTTTTTTTTTTTTTTTTTTTTTTTTTGCAATACAATTCAGTTCTACATATCAGCCACGGATTCCCTTGTTCTCCCCCCTCCCGTCCCCCTCACCTTCCCCCCAACCCCCCCCCCCCCCATTCCCATCTCCTCCAGGGCAAAGCCTTCCCCACAGACTGAGGTCAACCTGGTAGACTCAGTCCAGGTAGGTCTAGTCCCCTCCTCCCAGGCCGAGCCAAACAATCCTGCATAGGCCCCAGGTTTCAAACAGCCAACTCATGCAATGAGCACAAGATCTGGTCCCACTGCCTGGATGCCTCTCAAACAGATCAAGCCAATCAACTGTCTCATCCATTCAGAGGGCCTGATCCAGTGGGGACCCCTCAGCCATTGGTTCATAGTTCATGTGTTTCCATTCATTTGGCTATTTGTCCCTGTGATTTATCCAACCTTGGTCTCAACAATTCTCGCTCATATAAACCCTCCTCATTCTCGCTAATTGGACTCCCAGAGATCCACCCGGGGCCTAGTCATGGATCTCTGCATCCAGATCCCTCAGTAGTTGGATGAGGTTTCTAGCACAACAATTAGGGTGTTTGGCCATCCCATCACCAGAGTAGGTCAGTTCGGGCTGTAATTTAGTTTTACATATCAGCCATGGATTCCCCTGTCCTCCCTTCTCCCACCCTCCAGTCTTCCCCCCCCACAACCCGCCCCCCATTCCCACCTCCTCCAAAGCATGATCTCCCCTGGGGAGTCAGCCCAGCCTGATAAACACCTATTTTAATTAATGTTTATTACAACATCCCAAACTTATTATTTCAACTCCTCCAGTTTTGTTTTCCCTTCACGATTGGCCTGGGTACTTTTGGCCTTTGCTATGGCTGCTTGCATTTTTAGTTTGTCAATTTTAGTAAAAGCCTTGCTGGGATTCTGATGGAGTTAACTATAAATTAGCATCTTTACATGAGGCATCTTTATAATATTAAGTCTAGAAACAAACATGGTTTATCTTATCATGAACATAGTCATCTTACCATGAACATGGTGATCTTATCATTATTCAGGTCTTCTTCACCTTTTCTCCATAAAGATTCTAAATTACTCTTGACACGAAGACATCTTGGATACTGAGAAATCTTAATTTACCACAAGTCTTTCCATGAGAGAGAAAAAAAAAAGTTGTATTTCTAGAGTATATAATTTGGAGCATTAAACACGTATTTGATACCCGGGTAGAAAAATCAGCTGGCCTTCCTTAGCAGTGGCCAATCTTTGACACAGGCAGACATTAGGTCGAAGACAGTACATCCCTTATCTGTGCATGTGGTTTCCATGAGATCCTGCTAGGGACACCACAGAGGGATGTCAGCTACTCAGCAGGGTGGTCTTCTAGCTTTCTGGTATACTTCCTCAAAGGAGCGCTGTAGTCTATTTTTATATCACCAAAGAGAGATGGCAAGAACATCACCCTTACAGGCCATAGACCAACAAGAGGTAGGAAACTCAGGAAGAGCCTTTACAAGGAAATCAAACTGGCAGAGAGGGTGAAACACAATTTTCCTACTGTATATGATCTCACCTAAGTGGAGTTCTATGGAGGCAAAGGAAGGTGTCTGTAGCTACAGGAATTTTTTATTTATGCTCACTTAATATTTTCATGTATATTACTATTTTCCCAGCAATTGTGACTCTGTGAACCCATACCCTCACAATTTTGTAGTTGGCTTGAACTAATGGGCATTTTCAGTATATATGCCAACCTGAAAAACAGATAATGATAATGATGTTAATTTATGCAGGTAAACATATTTTAGGTGAATTTTTCAAAAGGTCTTAACAAGTGGGTACATAAGCAAATGCTCAGTGAAATGCCAGTTTTACATGCATTATTTTCTCTGTTAAACAAACTAGAAAAACGAATTTTTAAAAAATTATTAAGCAAAAGAAATATGCCTCCCTGAATTAACTTAATCAAAGTGGAGAATCAGGTAATGTTACATGTTAATATGAATTACTCTAAATTGTGAATTATGTTGCATTTGTATTTGGGCTCACTTGCATTATTTTTACTTGAGTGGCAAACATTATGACTCAGTTAGCTCAAGCCAATTCATGGATGTGTTGTTACGACCTTGACAATCTTATTTTTACACCCAACAGTCAACTGTGTCATACCAGAAAATATCTATGTATGGAGTTGTTGATTTAAAATGTATTTAAAATTCTGTTAAAATATTGAACTTAAAAGACTTCAACAGAACCTAGCCTTAAGGTAAATCTAATAGATATAAGTCAGATAATTAACAATACTTGGTTACAAGTATAGAATGGTTATATTGTCAAAGTTTCTCAATCTTAGGCACTGAAGGTAGAAACAAAAGAATCACTTGCCATTTTAAGAAAAATGACTATGTAAATCTTTTAGACCAAAAATAACATATAGTAGTAGCTATATTTTGATAGGTAAGTACAGGTTTCAACAGTTAAGTTTAAAAAAGGAAATGTAGCACTGAAGAAAGTGTATAGAATCATACTTGCACTTTCCTCATTGTATTCTGTCTCCCAACCCATTAAATAACATTATGCCCTGATGTATCCCCACAATTCATACTGTGATGCCTAACCCCCAACGTAATGGACTCTGGACAAGGCATGTTTGGGGTGTGATTAGTGTCCTTAGAAGGAGTTCAGAAATATCTGTTTCCCTTTTGCCATATAAAGATAAGACAGAAATATGTGTGTGTGCATATATATGTTATAATGAAATCAGTATTTTGGGTAAAGAAATATGTACATTCATGATCTATTGCACTAATCCTAAATGGTCTTATAATAAAAAAAAACCCTCAGAGCCAGATATTGGGGTAAATGCTGAAAGATCAGAGAGACAAAGGAACAAGCCACTAGAGAAACTTCTCATCACTACCGAATCCTCAGAAGGAATGGAAGACGAGATCCTATCTCCTCGAATCCTCTGGCTGAAAGCCTCTGAGTCCTCAGCAGAAAGGGCATCTAGTTCCTGTCTCCTCACACCTTATATGTCTTTCTCCACCCAGCCATTTCACTTCCTTCCTAGTGCTGGGATTAATGGTGCGTGTGCTGTGTGCTTCCCCAATACTGGCAGCAAAGGCATGAAATCTCAAGTGCTGGGATTAAAGGCTTGCGAATCCCAAATACTGGGATTAAAGGTGTGTGCCACCACTGCCTGGCTCTATTTCCCTCCTAGACTGAATCATTCTCATGTAGTCCAGGGTAGCTTTGAACTCACAGAGATCCAAACAGATCTCTGCCTCCCAAGTGCTAGGATTAAAGGTGTGTGCCACCACTGCCTGGCATCTATGTTTAATCTAGTGGCTTGTTCTGTCCACTGATCTTCAGGCAAATTTTATTAAGTTACAACACAAAATCACCACAATGATTCAGAAGTCTAGACATCAAACTTGTACTTTCAGAACACTCTCCAGCTTTCAGAACTCTGTGAAACGTAATTGTTTTAGAAGTCACCCAGTTTGTGACACTTTTGTTAGAATGGCCCTAACACAATTAGAGAAACTGTACTTTTCATGCAGGTATTCTTGGTGCTTGTCTTCCATTTCCATTTTATTTTTTACTTTTTGTGTTTATCATTACACTGTTTCTCCCTTCCTTCTCCTCCCCTCAAACCCTACTACCTAGCCCTCCTCACTCTCATTCAAATCCATGGCCTCATTTTTCAGCAATAGTTATTGCATGCATCTGTGCATATGTCTATACATATATTCCTAAATACAACATGCTTAGGCCATATAATGCTACTTGTATGTGTGTTTTCAGGGCTGACCATTTGCCACTGAATAACCAATTGGTGTGCTTTTTCCTGAGGAGGATCCCCTCTCCTGCTTCCAGCTTTTCTCAGTTGCCTATATTATAGGGTTAAGGCTCATGGGCTTTTCCCCATCTACTTTGGCCTGTCTATTGGTGGTATCTTTGTTCAGCTCATATTTGGGCAGTTATGCTGATGAGATTTTATGGCAGTAGCTTCTCATATTACTAGGAGACACAATCTCTGTTGCTTGTCTTTCACATTCATAGAACTGGCACATTCTGGATATGTATCGCAGTAACTTCACTGCTAATACCATTTGTAGCCTGGATTAATACATTATTTTTATCCTAAAGGGTTTATTCCTTCAGTTGTTTATTTATCTGTCCATTGGACAACCACTAACAGGTAAATCACTTGCATTAGTTACTGCTCTCAGTACTGTGGTACACACAAATTGCCTTTATAGTCTTTACAAAAGGGATATCCTTTACCTATACTGAATCATGATGGATACCATGTCCCAGGACATAAATGCTAGAGCACTTAATAGAATAACTATGAGGAATTAATTCCGATTATTAGGTAAGGACACATTTTCTCAATTTAATTAAGAAATATTCTGGAAAATATTTCTATTATCCCAAATTTGGGTAATTCTACTGTAAATCAGTTGTTTACTAATAATAGTGAAATAGAAGATATTCCTCCAAATTGACTTCACATTTTGAACATTATGGCCATAAGATAGCATACATTTAAATGTACACTTTCTCTGTACATAGTATAAATAATAAGCTTTTATGTTTAAAACCACACTACATAAGAGAATTCTGTAGGCATTTTTTAACTGCTCATTAGCATTTGGAGCTGCTGCTAATTCCCTGTTGTAGTGTTTTGTACAACATAGCATACTTCTAGAAACCAATAGCATTCCACTCCCCATTTTGTAGTGGATATCAGTTCTATGACCCTGAAGTGCAGCCCTAGAGCCGTAGCAGAAAACTACTCTATCTGCCTTGAAGTATATGCCTCTGGGGCGTGGCCTCTTGGCTACCCTTGAGACCTGAGATGCACATACACTTGCTGTTCGCTCCCTCATGGGACTTGGATGCAGGACTGATTTAGATGGCAGGAACCACGTGAGACTGTGTTCCAGCATTCCAGAACCCGTGACAATTCTGTTCTGTACAGTGAGTTTTTCTCCCCTAATAAATTCCTTTGCCCTTTAAGCAGACTCTGTGGATTTCTCACATTACCATTTATTTGACAACAAAAATGTCTCCAGACAATAATGCAATAGAAAACACTGACCACAAAAGTAGATCACTGGGAGACTGGAGAGGTGGTTTGGAGGTTAAGAGCACTTAACTGCTCTTGCAGAGGACCAGGGTTTGGTTCCAAGCACCGACATGGTGGCTCACACCACTCTGTAACTTCAGCTCCATGGAAATCTGATGACTCTCCTGACCTTCCAGGGTTCCTGCATGAACATGGTTCCCACACATCCACTCAGGCGCCAGTACATACACACATACATAAAATTAAATATTTTTAAAATTAGATGACTGGTATCAAAGCACTGTGGGCTTGGGTAGTTGAGATGAGTCAGCAAGTAATGGTGCTTGCAGCCAAGTCGGACTATCTGAAATCCTAAGAGCCATGAATCCACATGGTAGAGGGAAAAAACTGATTTCTGCAAGTTGTCCTCTGACCTCCACCCCAACCGCAGTGACACCCCTGTGTCTCAAGCACACACACACACACACACACACACACACACACACACACACACACACACACAAATAAATAAATAAAATTATTTAAACCACTTCGGTCTTTAATTGTACCAGACACATTTGTAACAATAGCAGTCACACTGGAAATAACATTGCCATTATTTAAAATAATGATCAAGAACTTTGGCTTGCAGTTTATGATCCATTAGCTAAAAGCATCCCGTAGTTTACTGGAAAGGGGAAGAAAAGTACATTATTACTTACCGATCTTTTCCAATCTCTGAGTTTATCTCTTGTGTCTCTAAAACTTTTCCTTTGTAAAAGTTACTAAATTCTTGAAGACTATCTTAATATCTAGAAAATTTAATTGCAAAGAACTTCAGACAGCTCAACGTGGTTTGTCATGTCTTTAAATGCTCACTTCACTCTTAGGAGACTGAGGCAGAGAGGTCACCAATACCAGACTTACTTCCTAAGTTCAGAACTGTTAAACAAATACAAAAAAGAACCAACAGGCCCCACACAAGCAACTTGTATAGAGTAATAACCTTGTTTGTTTGTACCGATAAAATGATGCCAATTTAATATTTTGGTTTTGTTTGTTTTAAAGTAATCCCACACACTGTCTAGTATTAAACTGATCTCTGAGGCATGCGGAAGGGGTGTTGAAGACAATATACAGGTTAGTAACTACAACTTCGCTTACAACTGCCAAAGCAGCACAAATGAACCACACAGTTCAAGTCTCCAGTCACTCCAGACACTTCAGAGGAAAATTCATTGGAGCTTTCGCTTACATAATTTATCATATGGACCGGGGGGATGCTTGATGGGCAAGTTAGATCAAAGTTCTGCCAAAGGAAGCATGGGATGCTCCTCTGTGTCAGCCACATTTCTCAGTCACTCTGTGTAAGTTTTTAACATCTTCAAATTTGTACTCTGTAGCAGCATGTAAAAATCATTACCACGTTAAACATATTCTAAGAATTCCTACATAACAAAGTCTGAACTCCTACACAACAAGGTACAAAACATTAACCTCACCAGTATTCTTCCAGAGCACGAGACTACATGCTATCATCAAATTCAGGAAAGTGATCCACAATCTAGTACAGATAACTCTCATTGTCTCAGAGTTTATCTCTACATACCCGTGTCTGTGATTTTCCTGTTTGACCTCTAAAACTAACGCAGTAAAAGTCTATTTGACAGCGTACCAAGAGCTACTATCACGTGAGTGCTAAAAGTTAAAAAGTGTTCTAATAGAACCTATTTTCAAGTTACTGCCGAAGAGCCCAGACCTCCTAAAACTCAACGCGCTTTAGGCCACGTTATTTCCGTAGTTTGGTGTCGGTTTGAGATAATCAGCCAGCACAGGTACCGCACCTGACAACCGGGGGTCCCCAAGGCCATCGCTACAGCAACGCGTCCTGGCAGCCAGACAGGCCTGGGCCCAGCACGCGAAGCTTGGGGAACCGGGCTCCTCAGGGACCCGCCTGGCGGCGCCGGTGAGGAAGGCTGCACGACGCCAGGACCTCACCCTGCCAGTGCTCACTCAGCGAAACTGTACATGCCTCCGCAGATACAATGCCAGCCCCGCAGCGATGGCCCGGAACCGCTGCAGCCTTTCGCCCCGTCTGCCCACAGGCCCCACCGCGCTAGGAAGCGCGCGACCCGAGGCTCCTGCCAGTCCCGGGACCCCGCCCCTGCCCACGCGCGCGACACACACCAAATAAGGCCCGGAGCAGGCGGCCCGGCCCCGCCCCCAGACTCTGGCCCCGCCCCAGCCCCGCCCCCTCGGTCTCGGTCCCGCCTCCGCCTCCGCCCGCTCCGGGGGAGAGCGGCTGTGCTCCCGTAGTGCACTTTTCTCTCCGCCCTCTCTCCCTTTGGAGAACCTTTCCACAAAGGCCTCCGGCGCGCCCGGGAAGCCCGACAGTCACACAAGAGTAACCGTGACTGAAGGGCTCCGGCTGCGGAGCTGGCGAGCTCCGCCCTCCCGGGCGCGCCTTCCATCCATTTCCCCCTCCACCCCCGCCTCCCCGCGAGCCCGCGCTGACGCTTCCCAGCGGCGCGCTCGACCCGCCCCCGGCTCCGCCCCCCCCCCCCCCCGCTCCCGGGCGTGCCCGCCCGCGCGTGGGGGGCCCGCCGCATCCACCCCTCCTCACACCGTAGCTTCTCGAGTGTGAGGCGTCCGGGCTCCTCACACCCCCGCGCGCGCGCGCCGCTCGCCCGGGACCAGCCGGCGCGGCTCCAGCGTCCCGGGCGGGAGTGCGCGTGCGCGCGGCCGCGGGGGGGGGCACCTCTCCCCTCTCCCTCCCTCCCTCCTCCTCCCCTCCCTCCGCGCCTCTATAACTTGGCGGGCAAGGAGGCGGCGCCCGCGGAGTCGGAGGGCGGGGAGCTCGGAGGAGGGCGCCGGGAGTTGTGGAGACTGTCGACCGGGAAGTCGCCCGCCGCGCTCGGCCGGCGCAGCCCGCTCGCGGGCTCTCTCGCTGCCGCCCTCCGTCTGCGCCGCGGGCCTCGGCGCCGCCGTGGGGCGGCTCGGGGTGCGCTCGCCCGCCCCGGCCCCGGCCGCTGCCGCGCGCGGGCGGGATGTGGCGCCTGGTGCCCCTGAAGCTGGGCCGCCTGTCCCGTGCACTGAAGCTGGCGGCTCTCGGCAGCCTGTTGGTGCTGATGCTGCTGCACTCGCCGTCGCTGCTCGCCTCCTGGCAGCGCAACGAGCTCGCCGACCGGCGCTTCCTGCAGCTCAATAAGTGCCCGGCGTGCTTTGGCACGAGCTGGTGCCGCCGCTTCCTCAACGGCCAGGTGGGCTTCGAGGCGTGGGGCCGCCTGCGCCTGCTGGACTTCCTCAACGTGAAGAACGTGTACTTCGCGCAGTACGGCGAGCCCCGCGAGGGCGGCCGCCGGCGCGTGGTGCTCAAGCGCCTGGGGTCGCAGCGCGAGCTGGCGCAGCTCGACCAGAGCATCTGCAAGCGGGCCACCGGCCGGCCGCGCTGCGACCTGCTCCAGGCCATGCCCCGCACCGAGTTCGCGCGCCTCAACGGGGACGTGCGGCTGCTCACGCCGGAGGCGGTGGAGGGCTGGTCGGACCTGGTGCACTGCCCCTCGCAGCGCCTGCTCGATCGCCTGGTGCGCCGCTACGCCGAGACCAAGGACTCGGGCAGCTTCCTGCTGCGCAACCTCAAGGACTCGGAGCGCATGCAGCTGCTGCTCACCCTGGCCTTCAACCCCGAGCCGCTGGTGCTACAGGTAGGCGCGGGCCTGGGGCCGTCCCCGCTCCCTGGGCGCCGGGCTCTTCAACGCCAGAGGGAGTGCGTCCCCAACTCTCCCCAAATGCCTCCCCGCGAGTTTCCTTCCGCCCTCCTGTTGGTTCCCGTTGGTCCCTGTCTGGATGCCAGGTCCAGTGCTGTCGCGAGCCCTTGTACCCTTCCCAGCCTCTTCCGAGTGCTTGGACATTACGGTCACCCTTCCCTTGCTGTCCTTTCTGGCTAGCCTAACTTTCCTGAGTCTGCCTCTGTTTTATTTCTTAGCTCATCTCCCTGTGACTACTCAGCTAGTTCTGGGGCCAGGTGGGGACGATGAGATCACAGGGTGGGATGGTGGTGAGTGAAGGGGGGCTAATCCGTGGCTCGGGCTTTGCGTGGAATTAGAAGCGGAGAGATGGGAAAAAGTTAGCGTTGGATTTGGGCTGGGAAGGCTGAAGGCCAGAATGGACATTTGCATCCTGATCTGGTGATCTGCTCTAGTCGTATGGTAATCCGGTTAAGGAAGAAATTAAAGTGTTTAGGTTAGAGCTAGGAGCGAGGAGAGGAGGTTCTGCTGGCCTCCCTCCAGCCCAACAGACCTATTTGCTCTCCTCTGACTTTATTTTGAAAATAAATGTGCCTTTCAGGATAGAATGGAATCCTTTTGCTGGTGGCTGCAAGAAGAAAAAAGATAAGAGAAAAATCCCGTTTATCTTTGGAGTAATTTGTGTTTCTACATACTCCACCCCCGCCAGCTAAAGTGCTGTGCCCTTGGGCAGTGATTGCAGAGGAGGGGTGTGATCCCTCTTGACTGCAGGAAAAGTTACCAGTTCTGTACTAGAGAAAGTGATTTTAAATTAACCACAAGTAATTGATTGTATAGTTCACACCCTTTCTCCGCTAAGAATGTCACTAATGGCTAGAGGGGTTTGGACCTTGTTTTTGTTGTTGATTAAACTATGAATAAGAATGTACTGTATTTACAGCTTTTTTTTTTTTTTTAAGTTTTCTACATCCATCTTAGTCGAGAGAAATCAGCCTTGATTAGGTCAGCCACGTAATCTTAACACGAATATTTGGTAAGATGAAGTTCTAATGTGAGTCTTAGTAAAATTTTAAGGTGCCGTTAGGATATAATGTGATGGGTCACTTTTAACGTTCAGATTGTGTGATAAATACTGTTTTATCTCTGATGGATAGTGAACAGTGTGTAAACTCGGTTAAATTTACCTTGGAGAGTTATTTTATTCATTAGTTTCCGGACTAGTGAGTCTCTAAAGGTTGAGTCCCTAAGTATAAGTATGATTACTTCCCCCCACGCCCCCCCCAAGCTATATTTGTATCAGTAAGGTTGGTCCCTGGACAAAGCTTAGCACTGAAGTCGATAGTCAGATTCTCTGGGGTCCCCAAATTTAGCACTGAACTTAAGGTATTTACAGTTCCTGCATTTAAAATACTGAATGCCTATTGAACAATCTTTATCAGGTTGATTCTGAGTAGAGATACATTAGGAACAACTAATATTAAGATTAGTATCTCAGAAACATTGTGTTTGCTTCTTTATAAACATAGGAGTCTGAACTTGAGAAACTTTGGTATGTAATCTCCACACAGCAAAGCGCCTCTTACAGGAAGCTTTTGTGTGCTGACAGTCTTGGCGTTTTCAGCTTGTTTTGCAGTTGAGATAGTCGAGCGTGCTTGTGTCTTGTGTCCTGACTAACTCTTCCCCACACTGCTTATTTTCATCTTTGTTGATGACGTGGCATTTTTCTCACTTTATTTGAAGCCTAATGACACAATTGCTCTGGGTGAATGATTTAGGTTACCAAGAGTACGGGGTAAATGTAGTATGTGAGAAAATGTGTACTAGATCGTGGCATCTTTAATTTAGACAGCCCAGCTCCCAGGGATAATACTGTTACCTACTTGGAAAAGACACATTTTAGAGTTTTTAACAGTGTGATAGTGGCTTTTCTGTTCTTTTTTCTTCCCCTGAGTAGATGGAGTTTGACCTAAGATCCTGGAGTAGCTGCTTCCCTTATAGAAACACTTGATCTTGGGTAGAGAGCTTGAAAATATGAATGGTGTGATTGAGAATTGTTGATGGCATAAATTAATAAGTGGGAAGTAGATCCACATTTGTACTCAAGAATACTTATATAGTAAATCAGATGATGATTTGCATTACTTCTTAGCTGTGCAGACGGTACATTTAGAACGTACAGTTTCTATAAAGCCAGCTGTCTTGATAGTTAAGATATTGGTGCTGATAGGAAAGTCACTCACAGCTACTGCTTTGCTGATGTGTACTTTTGCTTCATATAGTTTTAAAAAGTGTTTTTAAGGAGCTAGGGCTTTACAGCTTAAAGACAAATCACCTTTCAGTTTTTTTCCAGGAGAGGGAGCCACTTAACGAATTTTTGGAATGTTTGATGACAAACGAGATTTTGCTTATTGTCCAATTATTTCTGTTGTCCAAAATTTTAAGTGGGGGGGGGACCTTTTGAGCTTATGTTATCAAATTGTTCTTCACAAAAGTAACAATAATAATGGTTATAAGTTAATTACTTAAAAATCTTTGGTTTACAGTATTGAAAAAAATGAGAATACAGATTCATTTAACTCATTAGCTCTTCAGATTTTAAGAAACAGTGGGAAATGAAGTGCAAGGTGTTGTCTGTAAGATACACACACCTCTGTTAACTGTAGATTGTGCTGTCCCTGTTCCACTGTTCCTGCTGCCTACTGGTCTCACCGGTTAGTCTGGCTTCTAGGAAAGTTGTTCTGCAACAGACTAGACAGTCCTCAGGATCTCAATCATATCAGAAACCGTTCCCTTTACATTTTCACCCATCAAGAGGTATATTCTCATGCCTAGCAGGCCCTCGTCCTGTGGAGGGGCAGGAAAGTATTGAGAGGCTGTTTTGTTGGGTTTTGTATGTGTAATAACTATCTTGGATCATTAGAAATGGAAGAAAAACTGGAAGGTGTTCTGCTGGTAACTTTTCTGTTGGTATTTGTGCTTGCTGTCTGTTCTTGAACAGGGGGGAAGTCTGGGTGGGGAGTGTCTGGAGACGCTGAATCTCTGCCACGGTCTGTGACCCACCTAGGAGTCCTGGCAAGTGAAGAAAGCCCTTGGTTGTTTTAGGGGGAAGAGCCAAGAATTTGTTTAATTATATTATATTGGTAGAACTTTATTTGCCTTAAATTTTCTGAATCATGGTTTTAATAGGACTTAATTTTTATAGTATGCAATTATTATTGTTCAAGCTGTGGCTTTTAAGCTTTCCTTTTACTTGTAAAATGCAAAATATATACAGAGCATTTGTGTAGAGCTTGATGCATGGTAAACAGTGAATAAATGCTAGCATCAGGACAGAAAGGTGACTGTAATCACCTAGTGCGTTTGGTCAGCTGCCGGAAACATGGTTGGAGTGTGAATCTGACTGTGAACCGAACCTCAGCTATACTGATCTCATCCGTTCTGACAGAGCC